CGACTCGCGCGTTGCTTGAAGTCGACAGCCCCCAGCGCTCCCATTGTTTCACTCGCTGTCTGAAAAATAGATACCCATTTGTTTTGGCAGTCTGCAAAGGACACCGACTGTATTGAGTGCAAAAGGGCTTTCTCCAGGCCCCTGTTTTAGCATTGGCGTTATTTGTAGAGCAACTTTGACACGGCGACTCCCGTTTTGTATTTCAAACCCTCCTGATTTGCCTACCGAAGCCGCTGTTGTGGACCCCGGCATGTTGTCTTGAACCCCTGAGTCAATCTAGGCTGATTACCCCACCCTGAGTAGCCGACATGATTAAGACCGGAGAGATCGAGAGACAACCGTTTACTAGACAGCGCAATAGATACAGTTAAGTGGTCTGGTAAAAATGCAGAGGTCTGAATGGTCACATGAATTAGGCGGGTGGTGCGGAGGGGCTAATGAGCCGGCGATGCCGCGCGACTGCCGGACGTGCCGTGAAAAGGGGTTTGTGTGTGTGAGGATGCGACGACCGTATTATTGGACGTGAATCAACACGATTCACTACACTGCCAACGCTTTTAGGACCACCTTTGTAATTGAAATATGCAGTCATTGCCCATGGCTTAAGACCGTCGCCATTGGCTGCTACCAATCATGAAAGCAGCGTGTAAAATCACCAATTTCCTTAAACTGACGTGTATTCTACTTCCATTGCACAACAGTTACATATCAAGATACAAACAGCTCTGGGTATTGGATAGAATTACCGTTGAAAGCGACTGCATCAAGCCCCTCAATCGTTATCCGGGGTCGCTCACGCGCATTCATTGGTCGTCAAAGTGAACAGATAGGCCTGTGCCACAGATGGGCTAACAGAGATTGTTAGTAGAATTGCGGAACAAGTGGAGAGACGTAGAACGAGATCGATTGGCTCATTTGGGAGTCCTAGAGAATGGAGAACAAAGTCGCCAATCATGTGTGGAGCCCGATAACTGTCGTGAATTTACTAGATCAACCAGAGTGTGATATTGATAGTCTTTATTTATAATTTATCCCATTTTTGGTGTCGGAAGTCATACAAATTTACAACACTTTCAACGGTGGTTATTTTAACGAATAAAAGTCGTCCCAAACATGATGCTCTTGCAAAATTTGAGAATGAGCATGAATTTTGCTGCCATCTACCTCAGTGCAATAAGTCGGCCAAAAATATCTACAATATGTCCAACTGTTCTTCGAAGCAAGTGCTATCGTGTGCTTGTGTTGAGTTGTACCAATAACTGCACCCTCTAGGGCATTTTCAGCAATCTTTTGCGTCTGAGTAAAATGTGTGTTTATGGCTCAGCTGACCTGTCGAATGCGCAGTGAACAGCGGTTGACTCAGGGCACACTAAAAAGGTTTCTTTTTAAATGTCCTTGGAATCTACCAGATCAAAATGACAGGAGTTCACCAACTCAATTTACGCAGTGCGTCAATTACTAATCATTGTTAGTGTCCAAGAGTAAGTTCATGAAATGCGTCGAGTAGCAGGGACTAATGCGTGAATGCTATATTGTATATACCATACGTTTATTCTCGTTGCATTTAGCTTTCGCTCGAACCGCGTGGCATCGCTTGTACTAGCTTACCCTTTATCCAACTGTTTGCTGGATACTCACAAGGCGAGAAATGCACACTGGGGTGCTCAGACGTATCCGCCAACGGGTCGCCAGACACACTGGTCACCGCTTGTAATGGAGGTTACGGCTATGGGGGTTTTCACTTCTCCGTGTTTCAAAATTCATTTAAGAAGGATGCCCAGCTTAATTAAATTAACAAGCACATTTACACGGGCTGGTTATCGCGTCTTGTGGGAAGGACATTTCGGTTGTCTACGCATTTCCCCCTTCCCACACACTTCGCATCGATGCGCTAGACTGCCACGCCCTTTTTCGCCTGACTGCCTTCGCTTTCGTTACTGTTAGTGTTTGAGCACACTCGAAAGGGCTTATCTCCATTTGGCGGAAAGAAATTAATTGTTTCGCTACATTAAACACCGGGTCTGTGCATAAAGCCAGAAGCTTCTTTGGCTTGTTGCACAAATATTGAGAAGAGCATTGTAGTCACGATAGGGAACTAGAATAATGGTTAGAGACAAGGAAAAAATGCTATATAGTCGTCTATTTTTGTGGTGCTGAAAAGGATTTAATTTACACGGATAAATTGTATGTCAGTCTTGAGGCGAATGAGTCGTGTGCAAACTTGAGTTGTTGTGGAATCACTTGCAATCCAAACCTAACAAGAAAAAAACGAATCTGTTTGGACACAACAATTTCTACTGTAGGTACGAAATAATGGATCGATATAGATTTGTTTCGCATTAAACAGGTGCTTAAAGCGGATTTGTCAATTTGCTGTTAAGTTTTGTAAATGAACTTGTCCATTGTAACACGCCTACCGAGCAGGGGCCTAAATAGGTAGATGACCGTTAGCCCGTCCCTCTTACATAGCCACACAATCATGGTTTGCTACCAGGCACGCGATAGAAGAATAGCTTGAAGAACCGGATGTATTCCATACTACCGCATAAGAACTCAGGGGTCTAGAGCTTAGGGAGAGTTGGAGCAAGGGAAAGGGATGGCCGCGAGGAGGATCGGTGTTGCCCTCGGACTCACGGGCGTGCCTTGAGGAAGGCGAGAGTGCGGGAGGGAGGAGGAGGACCAAGAACAGGCCAGACCGGCGTGCGTGGGTCGATTGGCGCGCGTCACACCATGTCTGGTTGAACGAACACCACTATTGTTTAAGTAATTGAATAGTGTTTTAAAACAAGGAGCTAAGGCAGTCCTTTCATGTTGAACTACAAATTTAATTTCGGATAAATTGATTTGCATTCTTATAGATTGCGAGCTTAAACAACACCCTTCCACGTGTGTCTTACATCAAGGCAATCGACATCTGGTTAGTGGCTTGCCTTCTCTTTGTGATAGCAGCGATGCTCGAATTCACCCTTGTCAACTATTGGTCGCGAAGGGTTTTTCTTGCCAAATGGCGTGACCAGGTAAGGCCCGATGATGCTCCATCGCCGTTGTGTGTCATTTTGTGCAATTTGGCCTCTCTCGGTGTTGTCGGTGTGGGTCAAAGGTGAAGCTGATGTTTATTTAAGGTAAAGCACAGACATTACAATTATAATCAACCATGTTTCTAAATGTCGTGCTTAGGTGATCAGAATTTACGTAAGAGATGTGCAGTCACGTTACAAAATGCCCAATTTTAAGGACCAAAATCCGGCATGCTTTAATGACTCTATCGAGATGGATTTCGTTACTTGAAAGAAACGTGTCATCAAGCAGAAATGCACCTCGATGCGAAGTCCTCTGTTTGCTATTTCAACTAATTGTAATTCAAAATTGACTGGTTTGTTTCTGCTCCACACCAGATACGTCGAGGAGTTCGCGAGGCACTGGCAAGAGTCGTCTGTCCGTGCCGGACCCCCAAATCTCATAAACTTCTCCTACGTTGTACCTGCTGCGGACTGATTAATCCTCAGCGTCAGACGGCACAAAACTGTAGTCCAATGAAAACCAAGAAGAGAAGGGACGTTGGCCGGTGTGCATGTGTCCCAAGTAGTTGCTGCGCACTGAAATCTGACACACCCGAATGCCAATCCAACTTTTTTGACTGCGATCAGGTATGTGTAAGCGAATATAAATTGGTGTACGACCTTTTTTCGACCTTAAAGGGGTAATTTATCATGCACCAATTTGAAAGTATCCTAATGAAATTACCTAAGTGGTCAATTAGAAGCGTCCGTCACTTTGCCTCCATGATAATCGATCCTGTTAGTAATCATTCTACTTGGATGGATAGTGAATTCGGCTTGCGGCCGCTGTTTGGCCGAAATTCATTGGTGTCTGAGCCTGTAGTGTGACAATTTGGAGTTGTGCATTCTATACTAGAACACCCTCTAACCCTATTTTATACTTGGTAAATACGAACGCTCCGGATATCCGTTTGAAATTATCTACCAAACAAATGTTTAATGTGCTAAGACTTCATAACCCCTCAGCCTAGCACTGCAAGCGCCAAATTTAATCGCAATAAGGATGCCAAGACCATAGAAATACAAGCTCAAATATCTTGGTGCGATCCCATGTACGACTCCGGATACCCTTGAGTTTCAATCACCCTGTAAAGTTTCCCGAAAATAATCGTAAAAAAGGTTCTCTTTGATTCCCACGTTGTCCTCAATGTTCTCGTAATCCCCTAAGCACTCTATTTAACTTCCTTTGTGGGTGTCTACGTGATTTATGTAATCGCTCGATTAATAAAACATTCCACTGAGGAAGTTTGAATAGATGTTTGCGGAACTCCCATAAAACGGCAATTGAGCACGCTGGGATTGTGAATAGGAGTTAACAGAAGAAGGTCGTCAAAGAATGATGAGCATGAAGTTGTCGTGAATCCTGTTTATTCAACCCTCTAATCCGGTCGCTCCACCTCCTACACAGGGTTCCCCTTGTCGCAGCATGTCGCCAGCCGCGCGAATCCTCAACTGCCTCCTCATTCACACGGACATTTATCCTAGATTATCCTCACACCTAGGTCTCGGTGTTAGCGCATGTATGACTCACACATCCGAGGTATAAATACACACGCGCAAACCCCACATACGACACAACGACACCAACGTGGTTGACCTCGGAAGTAAACGCTTGTGTTCGTCCTCTCCGGCCTTTTCCTTCATCGCGGACATCAGGGGAACTTAATCGGTTCAGGGTTAATTCCGTGGACCCGGCGTGGTTCAAGGCCACATGCTGGGGCCTACAACAAAGTGAAGCGTATAACTGTATTACAATGTGTTTAGCAGTTGGTTGTGGGTAGCTAAATTCGTGGCTGCAATTAATACGATCATTATAATGCTTACATGCTTTAATTAAAATGCACATTTGAGCTTGGAATAACAACAGGAAGCAACCACAGGTCTTTCCATTGCTTTTTAATTCCTGCTTCTTGCTTGTTGAAGGTTAGTCGGTCAGCAGTGATGCCATCTACGTGTCAGACAGTGGAAGGAAATAGCGTCCAAAGGAGCGCTAGGCACCGCCAAACGTTGGACGAGAATTACTTCTCCAATCCAGCACCCACTGTTGTTGTCTCTTCCCCTCTCTCTCATCCTCGGAATCACCGCAAAAATCATCCAACACGATCATCTAACATTCAAATGTCTTCTCTGCAACCGCGACGCAAACACAAAGTCAAATTTTCCAACAGCATACACCACGGAGACTTTGATAAACACCATGCTTTGTGCGATCGTCACCCGCTTCCAGAGCGATATCTGAAGGTGCGCGAAGTCGAGGTGGACGATGAGGAAGTGAAAACCTCAGTGGACGGAGACCTGACCTCAGAGATAGATGCCTATAGTCGATTTTTGTTCCCTTGTTTTTTCATACTCTACAATTGTGGATACTGGGGGGTTTACCTGATCATTTCAGACCCTGGTATTATGTCTTAAGTACTTGCTCAATGAACCCCACAACCGCTGTCAAAATGTTTCTGATTGCCAAGTATGCCTGTGGTATCGATTCACCGACAGCAATTCCCCTTCTTCCACCCTGCAGTAATTCGAATTTGTTCATATTTTGTAAAAATGATGTACAGAAGAATTGATTGTGGACATAATTTGACATATAATGAAATAACAATCCTGCTATCTAAAGCGCCATTGTCCGTTAAGACATTGTGGAGGCGGCGTATACAAACCTTACCTCGCTCTTGATGATTTCATTGGTCATAAATGTATTACCACAAGGGTTTTGCTGCCTATTCACAAAGCAAAAGACAAAACACTTACTGTAGTAATAAAAAGAATTATGAGAATGGGTTTATCTGGGCGCTTGTTGTTTCCAACCAAGTTGATATTCATTGATCATAAATGAATACATTTTGTGGATGAGAAAAGAACTGCCGAATCACAGTTTCTTTTTATACGAATCACGCTTGTGATATTCAAAGTTTTACTTTCTGTGTTCAGTCCTAAAGTACTTCATTGCGAAAACCGCGAGAAAGTGGCTACATTTAACCGAACAATTGATTATTCTACTTTCCTGTCAGTGATTTCGAAATTAATCGATTTCGTCAAGCATTCCGGTCTTCATGAAATTTCGCGCCGTGGATTTCGTTAAACAGGTCAGCTAATGAGGTGAGAAGATTAAAATGGTGCTTGGAGATTAAATTTTAGCGAATCTTACGAGTGCGGTTAAGGCATAGGATATGTAGCTGCACCGACTACTCAACCTCCATCATCAATTAAACTTTGTATTGTAGAGTTGGGATTAAACTTGACATTTTAACACAGTCATCCGAGTACGCAGACTTAGCTCGGTCGGTCCCCCCTATTCCATAATTAATGTTAATTAAAAATATGCTAATTTGGTGCAAAGTTAAATTTGCATTTGCGCGTCCTAATCAGGACAGTCGAGAGCCTGATGGAAGCATATACCTTAAAACGTTGTGTTTGTGGCTGTGAGATGTTTGATGTTTTTCACCGTCACGTGGTCTTCTTTGAGAGAGAAAATAAAAACGACTTGTTTTCTTGTTCCATCGGCCATTTAAGTCACGCTCTGGTTCCACACTTGAAGCCTGTAGTTGCATTCCAATAACATTCTTTTTGTGCAAACACTTGTTAAAAATTTGGGATATCCTGAACGATGAATGAAAGCACCTCGAACTTTTCCCATTACATAGTCGTGGTAACGATTTAGCACATTTCAGGTTAAATACTGTGGCTTGAGGGGGGTCACATACACCTTTCAGTAAATAGGGGATCACAAAAAAAACCTTAAAGGTCACTTGGAGAATTTGGATCAATTCAAAATTTCTGTGGAACTTAGTTGGATGATTCAATCACACCTGATTTCTCACATGTCAAGATTCAAAAGAAACATCATGTGTCGCAGTAGTTTAAAGAATGAGTCCATGTCGTGGTTACTGCCGAGAATCTAGCGACACAAAATCATCAAATTAACAGAAAAATCGTTTTGAAATTTCACGGCTTCCTGATTAAACAGCAGACCATCATGTGCAGTCAGATTAAGACTGTTCAAAAATCTCGCGTTACTCTGAAACAAGCCCTATCAAATTTAAGTTGATTTGCTGAATAGTCTTCTCATATGTACCAAAGAGATGTAATGGAAGTTAGTTCAACGTTAATGTGTACCACCTAAACCAGATTTAAACAAATGACAGTAGTTTTGCTAATGTTACCAAATTTGAAATCACTTCGCATTGAAACCGGTTGCCTCTGTTAATTACAATAGTTATAAGAGGATAGTAGATGAAAAGTTGTATGCTTTCGTAATGATATGTGTTCATTCAAGTCTTTCTATTCCGCATGCACATGCCCAGACGTCTCATGGTAATCTACCTCTGTCTTTCTCATAAGAGTGCGCATATCTCCGAGGACAATTCCATGAATTAAAAGTGCACATGAACCTGCATTCACACAAAGGTATAGCATCAACAGCATTTGAACTAAGCCATCAAGTAAACGGTAGTGTTTTCAAAGCCTCTCGTCTTCTTCGGCTTTTCGGGAACCTGCTTAACTAATTTCAAGAAGCACAATGGGCTTCTGCATCTTCATACGCAGTTCTGTTGAAGGCCACTCAGATACCCGTGAAGACAAGCAGAAGACCAGAGATCGCAGACACGACCATTTACTAGGCTGCCCAACCAAGTTGTGTTGTACGAGTGCGTATGCTCGAAGTAGTGCTTACGTAACGCAGTTATTGATCAAAAGCCTAAGTTAACTCGATAAAGCGCAAATGACTAAATGGTTGGAATAGTTCGACAGATAATGGGGAAGATAAACTGCGCCGATGTGTGCAAGTGTAGAAGGAGGGCAGCATGTCATAGACTGCGGCAACCAGATTAATGAACTTGAATCAACATGATTCACTACAGCTATCCTCTTTAGTAAAAATTATTGGCTACCATTTGCTTCCAGCTGGACTTCTGAAAGGTAGGCAATCTGTTTTGTGCGGTCGATTTGGGGCTTTCGTAATGGTTGAGTGCGGCAGTGTTTAAGCCAGGCGAATAGTCTTCGTCAGACGGTGGCTGAAACGCTTGGCGCTATTGTGCATTGCCGGAAGACGTTTGGAAAGATTTTGCTGCTGCCGATACAACCTTTTCTTCCACCGGGCTATCTGAAAAGCTGATCGTAAGACAGGTGGTGCGTGATGCCTGAACGTTGTCGCGAGATAATTAAGGCTTTTTGATCTGGTTGAAAGTTGAGAACCAAGTTGAGAATGAATCAATTATATTTGCCTGGCAAGCGTCAAAAGTTGAGAGTGGCGGAAGAGTCAGGAGATGTGACCATGTTGAGTAAAGCGAGAGTCAATTATTGATTTCGAAAGATTACCACCCAAACTTACAAAAAAAAACAAAGTTTAATGGTATATTCCAGCACGACTGAAAAAAACCTATGTGAAACTAACAGTTAAATAGCACATTTCTAATTGCTTTGGAAGTAGTTAGGTAGTATAAATTACAATCCACAAAATGATGAATAGTCTTCCACGTCCTGTGCAATGATTTAATTCAACTAAATCCACGTGAGCACCTTGCTAGTGTACAGTAATAGCCACCTGAATTAAGTCAAGTTTAAAATAGCTAAACTGGATAGGGCACGGAGTTGAATATCCTCAGCAAAGGACTTGCTTAGCAATCAAATTTTGTCCCGTCATTTTCGTTCTTTAAGTATAGAAATGATGATGAATTTTGACCTTTTTTGTAGCTGACCTGAAACATTCGAAGCATGTGTTTCTACCCGTTTGAAGAGCATTGTCATCATTGTCTAGCCAAACTAGGAACTCACAATTTCGATTAAAATTACAATTTACATGTCATAATAATAATTCTTTGGGACTAAGAGATGTTGCTTAATTCATTTTAGGCATGAAGGTCAGCAATCGAGGTCGATTTAAGTAACAACTTTAGAGGGACTTAACGAAAAATCCGTGGCTTTTCAAGCACATTAACAGTTTCTCTTCAACAAGTTCCTATTGGCTGACAGAATGTGCATCTTCATCTGCGAAACCTTCATTGGAATTCTTTCTTCAATTTCTGTGGCCTTGTGATTTCAGGTGGTGTTTGCACCAATTGAACGATGTACTGCTGGATCAGGTTGGGCGATAGCAGAAAAGCCGACAATTATAAGATAAACTTGTTCAGGTGAGTAGTTGTGTGATTTCGGCTTGACTCAGACTATGAGAATAGTTACTAACTAAACCATGAAGCCAACGTAAATCCCGACTACCACCTGGATTTGTCTTCACACCAGCAGCATTGCAATTGCATCAGCATTGTCTACCGCTGACAAGAACGATCTCTATCAAGTCATGATGTCTACTTCTACAGATTACCATAATTTAGACAGACGATCAGCATTTGAAAAGATTGCTCAGCCGTGTAAACGTGCTTTGATGCAATTAACACCTCGTTTGGCTAATATTTATCGTCTGGACTACACATTCCACCATTTTGAAATAAATGGCATGATGGAGACGGCTTATTATGACGCATTCATGGAGTTGGCTGCATGCGTTCGATGCTAGGAAATAGTGGGACTATAGGCTGTACAATTCTTTGTTGTAGCTTCAATTATTGACTTCAGCCGTGACCATTTTCGTCCATTTAAACTTCCCGTGGGTCACTCAGGAATCTCATTTTAATACTTATGTAATCGTAATAGCCAACTCAAAAGTGGCTTTCTTTTAAAATAGTTTTTGTTTGACATTTAATAATAATAATTTAATCCACGCTACGTCAGACCACGTGTTCATTAATGAACGAAGACGGTAATGTGCACAGGCGTCCCATATCGCCATTTCCTGGTTAACGTGACTAAAAATTATGGAGTCAAAATTTTTAAAGTGCCTAATCTTCCTTAACAATGATCAGATGGCCAGAGGTCTTGGAATCGAAAAAAATTAACCGAATCCTGATATCAAGGGATTGGAGACAAGGAACTTGTTGTGGGCCCCAGCATGTGGTCTCGAACCACGCCGGGGCCATGGAATTAACCCTGATACCCGTGATGAAGAAAAAGATAGGAGAAGGCGTGGACACAAGCGTTTACTTCAGAGGTCAACTACGTTGGTGTCGTTGTGTCGTGTGTGGTGTTTGCGCGTGTGTATTTATATCTCGGATGTGTGAGTCATACATGCGCTAACATCGAGACCTGTGTGTGGGGACACTCCAAGATAGATATTCGTGCGGATGAAGGGGGAGTTGAGGAATCGAGGGGCTGGCGACGTACTGCGACAAGGGGAACCCTGTGTAGGAGGTGGAGCGACCAGACTAGGAGGTTTAATAAGCAGGATTCACGACAAACTGTTTTAGCGGTAATCTTGCAACCTTCTTTCTGAATAGACAGCCTAGCATTTCATGAAAACAGAGGACACTTGCACCTTGGCCTCACTCACTTCATCCTAACTATGTAAGCAAAATTTCTTC